CTCTCTCTCTCTCTCTCTCTCTCTCTCTCTCTCTCTCTCTCTCTCTCTCTCTCTCTCTCTCTCTCTCTCTCTCTCTCTCTCTCTCTCTCTCTCTCTCTCTCTCTCTCTCTCTCTCTCTCTCTCTCTCTCTCTCTAGTGATAATGATAATAATAATATTGATAATGATCATGATAATGTTAATAATGATAATGATAATAGTATTAATACGACTACTACTACAACTAATAATAATGATAATAACAATAACAATAGCAATGAATGAATAATAATAATAGTAATAATGATAATGATAGCAATACTGATGATGAAAATGATAATGATGGTGATAATGATAATGATGATAATAATAGCAATAATGATTATGATAATGATGATAATAATAGTAATAATGATTATGATAATGATGATAATAGCAGCAACATTAATGATGATAATCATGATTATAAGGATAATAATACAAATGATGATTGTAATAAGAACCGTAAGGATAACATTAGTAATAGTAATTATGATTATAATAATAATAGTAATGATAACAGTAACAATTATTATAATGATAGTGATGATAGTAATAGTAAAGGGTAATGATAATAATGAAAATAATGACAATAATGGTAATGATAATTATAATAATAACAAAGATGATCACAATAATGATATTAGTAATGATGATGATCATCAGGATGATAATGATAATGATGGTGATGATGATAATAATAATGATAATGGTGATGATGAAGAAGATGAGGATGAGGATGATAATGATAATAATAATGATAATTATAATGATGATGTGATAGAGATTATTATTATTATCATTGTCATTGTTATTATTATTATTATTATTATTATTATTATTATTATTATTATTATTATTATCATTATTATTATAGTAAGCTATTTAAAGAGCCACACTAAAAAAATTGAGATTTTTATCACCAAATGTGTCAGTCCAGGTCAAGATACAGCTAAGAAAGAATGAAATAGGAAGTCAGCTGTTTACGTAAGAAAAACATGTTAGCTGATCTTTTAAACTTATCAAGAGTCGGAGGAGTTACAATCTCTGAAGGCAATTTTAGTCAAAAGTCTACAAATAGCAGTAAAAAGGCATGTAGAAAACTGACGCAGACGATCGATGATGATGATGATGATGATGATGATGATGATGATGATGATGATGATGATGATGATGATGATGATGATGATGATGATGATAATGATAATGATGATGATGACGACGACGACGACGAGGAGGAGGAAAATGAAGATGAAGATAAAGATGAAGATGAAAACGATGATGAAGATGGTGATGAGGATGAGGATGAGGATGAGGATGATGATAATGATAATGATAATGATGATGATAATGATAATGATAATGATGATGATAATGATAATGATAATAGAAATATTAATGATAATGATAATAAGAATGATAATGTTAATGATAGCATTGTTAACGATAATAGAAATATTAATGATAATGATGATAAAAATTATAATGTTAATGATAGTATTGATAATGATAAATATGACAGTAATGACAACAAAAAAGATAATAATGACAATAATGATAATAATAGTAAAAATAGTAATAACGATAATAATAGTAATGATAATAGTAATAATGATGATGATAATGATAATAACAATAAGAAGAAGAATATTGATAAAAGCATAAACTATAAAAATAACAACGATAATGATAATAATAGAGGGGGCTATGTTGACATTTTTATTTGCGTTTGTAGCCCCCTCATTACGTCAGAGAAAAATATATTGTACTCGTAGTCACTCCTATATCGTCGGCAAAACAACGCGAGAGTCGTGGAAATCTTTTCGACTGAGTGCTGGGTTGTCTTGTATTTTGCAACTGTTAGTGTTTGTTATTAATGTGTTTTTTTTGTATTTTGTATTTTGTAACTGTTAGTCGGTGTTATTAATGTTTTGTGTGTGTATATGGAGAGAGGGTAGTGGTATGACTAGATGAATTGTTCAAATACGAACTTCCTTTGAAGTAAAATGCAAGGGTGAATCGGTTCTGATGACTCTTTACTCTTTTACGTAAAAGGATAATGTTGCTGCGTTCGGAACTCCTCGTCTCGCTAATCCAGACAACTTGTCAGGAGAAGGAGGCCGCGTTCGGAACCCCCAAGAGCCTCGCTGCCTAGAATGCAACCGGCTCGATACTAAACATTCACTCTTTTATCATACCGGTGTCTTTATTTTACGCGCTGCATAGGTGTTGTAACTCCTTTGATGTATATTGAACTTATCTACAACTGACAAACACAAAAATATCCTTGTATAGCATTAATAAAGGGCCATAAAATTACCCATCAAGATCTTGTGGTTACCTGCAACTGTCATTGTTTACATACAAATGTTATTGTAACATCATCTCCAGCTTGCCAGCTTCATAGGAGGGCAAGATGGAGGATATGGACAACTTGTCGAGGACGAGAAAGTAGAGGTTCTGAACAGTCAAAATGTCTTGTCCAACTATTCTAGATGAACAGGACGAGGAGTTCCAAACGCAGCATATCTGCTGAAAAAATTAACTGAAGCAGATATATTGATATGAAGTTTAATGGATATCATTCACTGAGATTTAACAGTGCTGGAACATGAATCTACAAATAAATGAATTAAAAAGCACGACAGTTAAAAATAAGGTTAATTGACAAAGAAATAGGTCTTTTTACAAACTGATATCATATTTTGAAAATGTGATATAAGAGGTAGAATAGTGCTGAAAATAAAAGTCAGATTTAGGTATTTTAGTAAAAACACATTCATTATTTCTGCTATGGTTGGTTAGTGGACATTGATAGGAAAATTACCCAGATTATGTTTAAGTTTCTTAACAGAAGCTGCACTCGACAACAGAAAAATCAGTCGGTCAGAAGCCAAATTTTAAAGCCTATCAGTACTGGAAAAGCATATGAACCTTTGGCAAAATCAAGTGATATGCACAGCATTAACTCAGCTATGGACTCTGTAACCCCATACATTCTAACCAATTAACATAAATAATAATCTTATCTCAGAGAGATGCAGTATCATTAGCAATAATTACCTTGTATATGATATGACTGGAGAAATTAGCCAGAAATATATCCACATCTTTTTTTTTCTTTCTTTTCTTCCATACAGAGAATTCAGAGATGTTTCCAGCATCTGGAGGTGCAAGAGTGGGCTTCAGAACCACAAAAGCTATTAGATTTGCCAAACATGGCTGCACCAACAGACCTTTCTATCACATTGTTGTCATGGAGGTAAGGAGTGTGTTACATTTTCTTAAAAGTTATTGCATAAAGCAATTATTGTTTTTCATTTGGTTTTTGTTTCTAGCCTTTGCTTACTCAACTGGTAGTACTTCTTTTTGGTTTTGTTTAGTTGGGCTTACCTTTTATACAAACATAAGGAAGCATCAGTATGTAAACATAAAAAGAGCATCAGGAGCTTTGGAGTGGTGAAGAAAGTGCTTTAGTACTTTAATCATATGGTCAAAGAAATGATAATGTATATTTTCCTTTTGTAGGTTTTTAATTACAAGAGTGAGTCTTCTGATATGACATTTAATGATGGGAAAGAAAGTAAATAACAAAGTCATTTGTAAAGAATATTAAACCATAACTTTTGACTCCCCCCCCAACCCCATTCCTGTCATTTTCATAGGGGGTCTTAGGAGAGAAGGACTGAGGCCCATTGTGGCAGATGATCCTTGCCTTGGACCTCAGCCTTCACCTCAACTAATTGTATGTGGTCTTTTCTTCTCCACCTTTCTTTTTCTTTCTCCTCTTTATCCCCTTCTGTCCACATCCTAAAGTGTGAGAGCTGTGCTAAAAGGATGGCTTTGTGTCAGTCATGAACACCCTTCATATTCTGTTTACTATTCCCTCTTTACCCTTTTCATTACCATACTGACCTACAGCAGTCTACAACCTTTGATATGTAACATAATTGTCCTAAATTTTTACTCTGTCTCCCCTTTTTTTCCACATTACTTTGTCATAATGCTGTTATGGCAATGGATTTGCATCCACCATTTGACTGGTTTGTTATCTCTTTATGGGGTTGTGAGTGTGAGTGCCCACTGGTATGGCTGGGTGCTGGAGGTGTTGCTGGAGATCAATGGGGAAGCTGGTGTGCCTCCCCGACAGCAGAGACCTTGGTAGGCCTGGAGTTGCTTGCTGCTGTGTCTTGCTCAGTATGGAGGATCGTAGTGAGTGATGATTTCAGCCCAGGCGCTGGAGTTTAAGTACTGTTAAGCTGTGTCAGCTACCCAGGAGCAAGGGGAGCCTGCAGTCCAATAGGCAAGCCGTGAGGTGTCCGATGTCAACCAATCAGGTCTCGGCATTAGACTTCGAGGAGCTGCTGATGGTGAGGTGCTAGGGCCGGCTGTGGACCTAAACCCAACCTGGGGGAAGTATGCCATGCTGCAGGTTGCGGGGGTCGGCTACACTGTAAGACCTTTCCTTACCTGGAGGTCGGCTACACTGTAAGACCTTTCCTTACCTGGAGGTCAGCTACACTGTAAGACCTTTCCTTACCTGGAGGTCGGCTACACTGTAAGACCTTTCCTTACCTGGAGGTCGGCTACACTGTAAGACCTTTCCTTACCTGGAGGTCGGCTACACTGTAAGACCTTTCCTTACCTGGAGGTCGGCTTACTGTAAGACCTTTCCTTACCTGGAGGTCTCACCCTATTGCTATATTTTTTATACGTACTAAAGACCTTTGATGATGCGGCTGAAATTTTTCAATAAATAAAATTCAAACAACTTTGATTGTCCACATAAAGCCAATGATAAAGGTTGTAGGGAATGCCAGCATTTCTTTCTGTTGGACTGTGTGGATAGGTTTACCCAAAACTATTTGGTTTCTCAGTTCTTCCCATATCCCACTTTCTTTTTCATTTTCACACATGTGATGTTATGATTATTAATGTTTGTGTTTTATTGTCATCATATTAGTATATGTAGTTATGAATAATGGTTTCCATTATAATCATTATCTCATTTATTTACTTCATGTAGCTAAAGACTTTTATGAACAATTATGGGAGCACTCATTGCAGGACTTTTCACTATTCCAGAAAAGAAAGTCTCGACAAGGTCATGTCATAGAGCAACTGGGCACTTTTGATCCATCAGTGAATGTCCATGGAGAAAAGTTGTGTTCCATCAACCTTGACAGGACCACCTATTGGATTGGCAGTGGGGCACACATATCTCTCCCCTGTAGCATCCTTTTTGGTAAGTAAAGAGGGACTGATAGTGTACATTGGGACATTTTATATAGAAAACATTACATCTTTGGATCAATTACTTCCTTAGTATTCAGTTTAGTTAACTAATAACTTTTACTTCTTTATTGTTCAGTGTTGTTTCCTAGTGGCTGTATTTGTGTCCTGGAATCTATAATGCCTGAGGTATGCTTTTCTTATCTAAATCTACTAGACTTTTTTAATGTTCAGTGTAGCTTTGTAAGACTTTTCGAAAAGCAAAAGAATGTTTTAATTTTAGAATTAGTTTGGGAGAATGGTAAATTTACAGTATTTTGCTGTTAGGAAAATTAGAGCATAGTTAAAGTAATGTTGAATATATATCTCAACAGGAGTAATATGACTTCATTTCTATTTAGGTCTTGCCGGTCTTTTGCCCATCCACCCACAAACATATATTAAAGCTTGGAGAAATCGGAGGACAGCTGCAAATGCAGAAGAGACAGAATCAACTTCGTCTTCATAAGAAGTATTTGTTAATGAACAGGATTAGTCTGTGGTGTTTTATAAATCAAGTTTTGCATATGAAATTAAGTTGCTTATGAGAAAGAAATTCAAAACTTTATTCAGTAATGTAATATGACGAAACATGTATTCAGCATTTCAAGAATCTTAAAAAAGCAAAGAAAAAAATTCAAATCAAATAATTTTCTTTCCCAGAAAAGAATGCAATGTTAGTTATATGGCCACTGCTATTGTTATTTATGTAAATTTGTAAATAAAGTTTTTTTTTTTTTTGTACGAGTATAATTATTTCTACTATAACATATTCCCACACCTCTCACAAATTTTAGTTATATTCAAAGAACTTGGTCAGTGGTGCTTTGGAAATATATTATTCTCATTATAAAATGTTATATTTTAAACCAGTAGTGGCTTGGTCAGATTGGTCAGAACTGTTGCATGAAGTTGGAGATGAGCTGAGAACCTGCCTGGTAGCTTGTTGTGAGAGATTCTTGTGGCTGAAATTGAAAGGTGGATATGGCCATGTGCCCCTATTGGCATCGGCTTCATTTATTCATTACTTGATATTTAAAGCCATGTATTGATATAGGTTCCACAAACATGATTACTGTATTCTATCAAATGGTAATTATTTGAAATAGTACAATGAAAACAGATTATTCAAGGTATATGTTTTTTAACACCCTAGTGATGGGCACAGCTATAACTGTCATGGAAAACCTACCCTTCATGACGGGAATGTGTATACGTGTAGACTCGCTTTGGTGAGCAAGTGGGAAAGGCCAGCTGTATATAGCAAACACTCTGCCTGGAGAGGCTAGACAGGTGCCAGTAGTCACTGGAATAATTGTCACACAAAATTCTGGCACTTGTCACTGTATGGTTAATGATATTGATACATTTTGACATTGAACACAAGAAAATACAAAAAAGCTATCACTTTTTGCAGTAGCCATGTGTGGAATAAACTGAAATACTTGTAGTCATAATGTCTATGGTACTATTTCCCAAGCAAAATTCTCCAAATATGGTAATAAAACAAAGAAATACAAGTATTTACTCTTATTCACAAAAGCCTGAAAATAATGCACTGTAAATTGTGGAATGCAGAGGTTCTACAGCAGTAAAGGAAATAAGTTAATTAAAACACATTGTAACTGCCTCAAAATGTGTTGGAGGTATAAAATTGACCAAGGAAATCCCCAAAAATCTTTCCAGTTAAGGTCATTGACAACTTATAGTAATGTACAGAACATGCAATATACATATACCTTTTTGTAATCAATACAGTGTATAATCACAGGATACTTTACATAGTACAGAAAATGATAATTTATACAAGGTGCAGAAGATAAATTCAGTCAGTGTTTTACCATCATAAAGTTTCCAATCAAAGAAAGGAGCTAACGTTTCATCACGTTGACATGATCTGCACAGTTACTGAAATACGATCTAGTACATATTGGGGCATACAAAATACAGGGTTGATGGGTTTCAGTGAAGATTCTCCAAGCAAGGACAGTCCTGCTAGACCAAACAGGGTGTGGTACAGGTCCACCATATCCCCAGGTCTATCAGTGAAACCTCCTGTCTCAGCATCCTGAGAGAAGAAAATAAATCAATTTAATTTTCCTTGTGTGAATATTTGTATGAATCCTTATAAGTGATCAATTGAATAAGACACATCTATAAAATAATATGAGCAAGTTTGTCAAAAAAGAATAAAATTTAAAAAAATAAAAAACAAAAATAAACATAAATCAGAATAACAATAATAATAATTGTATTCTTCACTAAAATAAAGACAAAGGCAATGCACTCTAGATTATTAAATCATCCAGCTTACCTGTGTGGCCAGAATAAACACCCTCATTTTGTCAGCATTGATCCAGTGAAGTCTTCCCAGCATGGTCAAGGAGGCCAACACCCACCAGGAGTAGCACACATCAGGGAGCTTCTCTGGCCTGCCATTAAGGCCTCCAGAGGGCAACTGCCGCTCGCACAGCCACCATCCCAAGAGGTCACCATTAACTCTGTGTAGCTGACCTTTTGTACCAGAGTAGATGTTGATATTATGAGAAATAAGAATAATAGGAATGACTAAAAAATAAATAAATAAAAGAAACTATCCTGTATACTTGAGAGTGTATATGAAATATATAACAGTTATCCATATCTTAATGATTCAAGCTAAAATTTGCACACACCTGTGATAGAAAGGAGTCCAACACAGCAGTATATCTGACCAGCATGACTTTCTGAGCCGGGTCGAGTGCCAAAACCTCCATCAACATTTTGACACCTCATTACAAACTCCACAGCTTTTTCTGTGTTTATTGCATCTAATCTTTTCTGTACCACAAAAAAAAATACATTTTAATGATATTTTGGAAATGTTTCATGTTTGTACACAATCATATATATGAGTAATATATTTACTTATGTATCAAGAATGACCACCTATCCCCAAGAAAAGAAAATTCTGAACACAGTTTGTCTTCTGTGAAACTTCTTGTAAACCTAAATCTGTAAGTTTTAATCAACATTCTGCCTTTCTCAATGCAATATATAATACAATAATGTTAAAATGGCTTTAATGAACAATTAAAAAACTCACTGCATTAATACTCACAAGTAGGGCCAATGTATTAACAGCACAGAAGGAGAATCTGGTGTCCACTTCCCCCCACTGGTCACCTGAAAACGACCCATCTTCATTCTGGAGGCCTGCAACATACTTAACGATGGCCTCCACATCCACTTTGTCCAGAGCTTCCAAAATTACTAGGATCTGAAATCAAAAAGCTTTTTTTCTTTTTCTTTTTTCTTTTTTTTTCTTTTTTTTATACCTTAATGGATTCAAGGGGCAGTAAACCAAATGAAGTATGAGGGTGATTCTTTTTTTCCCCCCTTATGCAAAATATTCCCAACTTCGTGTTGCTTTTCATCAATTCTTTAACCCCATGCTTGTAAGTCTGGATGTACTGTTACACACTCCTCCTGGAAAGCCATATAAAAGATGTTTGTTTGATTAGCGGTTAGCCTTTGCCCAAATTAACCCCTTGGATAATGTTGCTTCACAGGGATCACATGGCCCAAAATGCATATACATATGTGAGCAGCCACTGTGACAGGTACAAAACGAGTAAGCAGGGAGTACACGAACATTTGTGTGCTGCAGCAACATTCTATGCCTCCCTTTGCAATGTTATTTTGTCTTTTTAGATATAAGCATTTTTTAGCTTTTTTTAACCTTTCTCCAATATCTATATTATTTAATTGATTAGATTTATCTAGATGGTAATAGACTATTTTCTTTACACAGACTCCATATCATCTCTCTATGTAGCCCATAACTCTGGGCAAGAATAATAACAGTACGTAACATTTTATTATTTGTGTCACATTTTTTTTTTTTTTTTATTCATAATATTCTGCACTTGTTTTTTGATGGATACTCCAGGAGGCCCTTTTCAAATGCTACACAAGTCTAATCATCCTCCAAGAGGTTTATGCACTCAGGGAGTCTTTTCCATCACCCTGTCCTTTAGCCAAAGTGCTCATGCCAAGAAGTTCATGTCACCCCAGCCAGATTTTCCCCTGATGGCATGTTCATTTCACCTGCCCCTTATGCCAATTTTTTTCATGCTGTGATGGTCATGTCAACCAGATTGCTGATTGACATGACATGATGTCTGCTATGTACTCTATTCATACTATATACATATTCAGTAATATACAAGTGGCACCATCTGAGAACAGACATGACTAATTAAAGGTGGTACAGGAACTCTTCCCAACTGTACCAATGAACAAGTTATGCCATACATGTAAACAAAATGTAATCCTTTATCAATATTATAATAAAAGCACGCAAGTATTTCAAAATTTCACAGAACGTCTGAAAAACTGAACAAAAAACGAACACTATTATATAAAGATGTCTGCACTCACCTGTACAGCACTAAGTGTGTAAAGAAGATGAGCATCGTGGCCAATGCTGGGAGAAAACCCTCCGCTTCCCTTGTCCTGGCATTTGCAAATAAAGTCTAAGATTTCTGTCGAGTCCATCCGATCTAGCTGGTTAAGAAGATCTAGTGCTGTGATGCCCCAGTACATCCCTGACATGCGAAAGTGTTCTGTCATCGTAAACTCCTGCAATAAACGTTTTTGATTAAATTAAATGTTTCATCCTTTATCTTAGATAGATTATTTTTCATTACAGAAGTGTTTCATTGTATGTATTCTTTATGACTATCACTTTTGTTTTTTTCACTCTCCACACAGTGTCCTCACTGATTCTGAATGAAAACCATTAATCCTCCATATGCATCATACTTACATAATCATCCTTCTTCTTACTGTAGCCTACTATGTAGTCGGCATGTTTCTGATACAGGAGAGTTTTGGGATGTTCGTCTGTGATAACCACATCTTTTGGATGACTTCCCTGAAATTTTTGAAATGAAGAAGAAAATTTAAACAAATCCGAGATTGAAACAATCTGTCTAAAAGAACAATAAACAGAAGTCAACAGACAGTTTGTTAGCCACACCAAGAGACACTTGTTCTTTTTTTTTAACAATTGTTTTAGGAAGTTCTTTGTCTAAATAAATCTTGGAATCCCTTAGAATTAAAACACTCATGAATAATCTACAAGTTTAATTTTGTTTGTATGCATATAGATACATATATTAACATATAGATAGGTAAGAGATATAAACTGCCCTGTAATTGAAAGCTGGAAATCTTTAATCTAAAGATTCATACTTTAGCTGAGGAAGGGAGAAATATTTTGCATACAACAGGAAGATCTGCACACTGATTTGTGCATTTCAAATTTCCATAATTCAAAACCTAGCAATAGCATACAGTATATGCACACCCATGGAATATAGGACAGATTCTGAGAATTAGGCCGTGGTTCACAGTGTCTTGTGGGAATGGCATTAATGTGGCAAGCAATCATCTGTTGGATTTTATTTTCCTATTCTACTGTTTTCAGGATGCACACCTTAGCCTAATCTGAGCTAAGCCAGGTAATTAGGCTGGCCTAGGGGGTACTAGAATTTGGTTGAACACACCCATGATTTTCTTTGCAAATGCCATACTTTTTAGGTTGGGGATTTACTAGGTCAAATGTGTAGGGATTTACTAGGTGTATAAGGGGTGGGACTTAAGTACAGAAAGACAGTAAAACTGGGCTTGGTCAAATTGCTTCGGCGTACATCATTACCCGCAAGTCAAAGACTTGATTGAGATTTTGTTCTGTATGAATTACAGAAATCCTTTATACCTTACTACCAATTTATGAACTCTTAACCCTTCAGCAATGGGTATAGCTATAGGTGCCATGACATATCGTGACATGTATACGCAACATGACTCGCAGCAGGTGGGCCAGCTGTACACAGCTTTGGCCTAGCCAGAAAATCTAGACTGTTGAGTAATTAATACATCATAAATAAATCAGGCCCTGTCCCAGGGTTAAGTAACCACTCAAGCTCAATCTCTTGGAGTATGTGTTATGGATATTTGCTGACCTTTTCCGAAGGCAAAGGCACAGAGACTTTTGCAATTATTCGACATCTTCATTTTTTAGTTTATTTTCCATAATATTTAATCATATCAATACTTGCATTTGGTGACAAAAATGTCATAGATAAGAATCTTTGAATTACAGGAAGTTGATCAGTAAATTTACAGAGGATAACAATTAGGGTTACAGTTAAAAAAAAAAAAAAAAAAAAAAGAGAGAAAAAAAAACATGTATGGAACGATTATCTTGACACAAATTAGGATATTTTTCATCTAAGGTGCGCAAATTGAAAATATAGGAGGTACATGACAGAGAAGAAAGAAGGTCGATCCATCTTTTCCTAAGTTCTTCATGTTTACATTGCGAGCCCGTAAAATGCCCTAAATAGCCGGAAAAAGTGATTAGAAACAATCTTGCCGTACATACCGGGGTGAAGAAAATGTTTCCTGGGGGGTGTTGAGCGGCAAAGCCCCCCATCATCCCTCCCATTGGGCAGTGCCCTAAGGGCACGCCTAGTCATCACAACGTAGATTGAAAGTTGGAGTGTTGGTTCGTAGACTTTCAAAGATGTGCTGGTTTTACGCATTTCTGTTATCAGTTCTTCTTATTTCAGCTTGTTTTACCCCATAATTTCCTTGATATACTGCATGCCGTCATCAGATTCATTCATTCACACAAGAGTAAATTTGATATAAACATTGTCTAGGAAGTCCCGATTGTCATAAACTGTAAAATAACCAGTCGATCTACCAATTCCATGTATTCTTGGCCTTTTCCATCATGCTGTTTCCCAAAGCAAACTGATCCAGCACTTTCCTTGTACCTTGTTGATGTGAATGTCTGACAAATATTACTTAGAAAGCCGAGGTTACACGTGTGGCAGCCGTATTCAATTTCTCACTATTAGGCATACAGCACATTTGTACAAATGCATGTATAAATGTTGATTCTGCGTAATTAGTATGAACCGAACCAAACCAACCCGAACAGAACCTAATTGAGTCGTGTCATATCCTCTGTCAAGACTCTGCTATCTGGACTGTTTCATCACAGATGCGCAGGACACCAACTGGAGTTTTTTTCTGCCGTACCAGTAGTCACTTCCTACTTAGAAATGCTAGTCCGGCTGCCGGTTAAATGGACCTTCAAGAATTCAGACTATTCTATAAAATGATACGCATATATCATTCTATATTACCCTATAC